TTTTTGGTATGTAAAAATTATCAAACTCATATAAACTTAAAAAATGTGATAAGCTTTTAAAAGTAGAGATTTCAAGCTTTAAAACCCTTTTTTTAAATTTGAATTTCATTCATTATTGATGCAGATATTGTATGTACAACTTTGAGCTAAAAAATACGCGATGACTTTTTACTACACCTAATAGAAGATTTTATTATAATTTTTCAATAACTTCTCCAGATGTTAAGATTTTATTTGCCAATATATTGAAAAGAGAGAGTTTTAAATTTTAACTACAGAGAAAGATCTGTAGTAGACCGTTAGTCAAAAAGCGCGACAGTTTCTCGTTTCGTCGGATACCTTTGAAAACACATTTTAAGTCGCGACGTGCTTAAAGTCGAAGATGACAAGGAACCAGCTACATCGAATGACCTTCGAGCACATAAGGCGCACGCATACACACGGGACCAAGCCCAGAAATGCGAGCAAGGGGCAGCCAGGTATAAAAGACGAGCGTTTCCAAGCAGGGGCAAGAGAAGACGAGAACGAGAGAGAGAGAGAGAGAGATGAAAGGACGAAAGCGCGGGCCTGAAGAGCCAAGGATGAAGGGCTGTGAAGGCGTCCTTAATGAGACCCATTCCACCAGATACCACGAGATTCGTTCGAGTCCACCACCACTCTCTTCAGTAAGAAAGAGAGAGAGAGAGAGAGAGAACGTCGGATATATATATACACACAGCACCAATGGCACTTGGCGCGCCGACTGAAATTACGGAGAAAAAGATCGGCGCTTTCCGATGACAGTAATGATTACGTTGCGGCGAAAGGGCGTCAATCGAATTTCGAAAGGATGCGTCTCACGCGTACCTCTTAAGAGCGAACCGCCGAATACTATTATTATGCCGATGAAGGCGTGTATCTGTGTGGATTTTTACGAAAATAGAAATTGGCTACTGCAAAAATAAGCTATATAAAATTGCAATTTTCAACGGCAACGTCGACGATGATCCTTCTCGGAACATCCAAACTATCGCATGTCGCGACATGCCGTATCGCCGCCACTGTGAGGAGCTCCATCTCATTTTGATAGATCGATCGATGACTGGCCAAACGGCAGCGTGCACAAAAATTCCGATTTTTCGAGAGATCGTCGCCCCGCGGTGAATGATTTGGCCACTTGTTGAATGCGAAACGGGGAGTGGCAGTCGGTGGTAAAATGGTTTGGGAGAACGCGGGAGAGAGCACGGCGGCGGTGGGCCTCACTTGTTGCAATCATCAAACGGAAAAGTCATCGAACAGGTTGTTGCGCCGCAGAGCGACGCATCGTGTTGCATCGCGGCCAACGACAAATTCGTTTTCATCGAAACTCTCTCTCTCTCTTTCTCTCTCTCTCTCTCTCTCTCTCTCTCTCTCTCTCTCTTTCTCTCTACCTCGCTCTCCCATAACAGCAACGGTCACCGCGAGCCATCGGCTGAAATTAACGTAGTATGACTCTGCGAGTTGGCAAATATCAACATTCCTGCGAAAATATTCCTATCTCTGCGTTTTGATCATCACAAAACTAAAGATTTTCCGATAAAAGCTATTTTTGGGTTTATTAACAGGGTTGTTTACAAATTCCTCATTCTAAAAATACCATAATTTTTGGATTATTTTCTCTGACTTTCAATAATATTTTGAAATTTTTTCGTATTTTCGACCTGATTCGGAAATCGTCAAATATTTTTGAGAGATCAATTTAACATAGTGATGTAAATTACTTATCCATGTTGCTGACATTGTTTACATTTTTTATTGTTAAATTGGTATTTCCAAAACTGCATATGTAGGTGTGATGTACGTATATTAAATATCGTTCGTTAAAAGCAAGAATTTTAATTTTCCAAAAAAATTTTGCAAAATTCCCTGCCTCTTCCCTGGATTAAATGTTTTTTAATCCAGTCTTTTTCTTTTCAACGTGAGAAATGGACGTTTTTCCCACTTTCTTCCACTTGCCTCATTTATACTCGTGTTTTTCGAAGAACTAGAAATTAAGATAACGAAACAACGTAACAATTGTATAAAGAAATTTTTTAATAGTTAAAAAAAAATCGATTATACCGTCACACACAATAGCGCACGACTGAATGTGCGTAAATGTTGATTTATAAATACCTGAACGGAGAAACTTAAATCGTATACTCCAAAATTAGAGACCTGTCCGTCGACGAGGTCATTATTCCCCGATGATTACTTTTATTTACGTTATCGAAATTACTACTTTTACTCCGACGTCCTATAAAAGCAAACGAAATGCTTTCGTTGAAATGAGCATTACAAAAATCTTTACTCCATTTATTTTATTACTAATATTATTATACCGTATAATTGAAATATTATTTTTGCATCGAGCAATACGATGAATAAATAAATATCGATCGTTATCTCACGGAAATAACCTCCCCCTTCCAACATTTCGATTCCTAATTTCGCATCCGTAATTTGATAATATCTCAGAGTGGCGTGAGCACTTTTAGCTCTGCCAGGGTCGCCCCACGCAGTGTCTCCGTGTGGACGCGCGTGTTATTAAGAAACGAAGACAAAAGTCCTCCTCCGTTCTCGGTGGCGCGGCCACGACCGCAAAACTGCACCACGACTGTGTTGTGCGTGTCTTTTGTGTGCTCGTTTCTCGTCCGCGAAAAGGACGGATTCCCCTTTTTCTTTCACACCGGCGGGTATACACACGCGGATAGTATCGAAAAACCGGCTGGTTCACTTTGTTGCCAGGAGATAATGGCCGTGCGAATCGTAAATAAGGTAATAGGTCTTTGGAGAGGGTCCGGGTACGAGGCCCAAAGATCGGATGACGTAAGCGGGAGCCTCTTAAGGCATCCTACACGCTTCCACGAGGAGAGCGGACACATCGGATATAAATCGTCCCTTCTCTTTCCCCCATCGACGGTAAATACATCGAACAACAAGAACGCATGATTCTTAAGGATCTTTTTATGTTCTACTTTACTGTGCTGTTTTACTTTGCTGCAATGTTTGCAACATATATTTTATCGCGTGATTTGTTTCGCTTCTTTAAAAACATTTCTTCGATGTCTACATCATTTCGTATGTAATTCCTATTTCATATGCCCCTCTCTCTCTCTTTCTTTTTTAATTATTAGAGGAGATTGATTGTGGCCAGTGTAGATGTAATGACCTCTTTCAATATCTCTATTAGGGAGTGAGTTCTAATGAATATTTATCTAAAGGCTCAGGAAATTAAAATTGAAATAAAAAACGATAGGCCAAACATGATGCCGGTGCATAATATTAAAAAATTAATGTATTAATAAAATTAAATATAACATCACAACCCCCAAACCCCTTTCTGTTCGCAGTGAGCCATCCTCAGTGGGTAAAAACTTACAAAAATTCAGAATACATGTAACCACAAGACATGCTTCGATGAGATTTCTTTAAAAACTTGCCCTTCAGTAAAAAAAAAGAAGTGTAATTGAGTCTCATATGTAAGTCCATAAAAAGTCGGAAGGAGGTCGTTCGCAATGGATAAATTTCCATAATGTTAAAGAAAAAGTGTGACAGCCTATTGTAGGCGGAGTTCCAGAATAGTTAAGTTATTATATTTAAAAGTGGGCTGAAATTAATATGAACAAGGTACAGAAGTTGACAGATCATAGAAGTAATTGAAATGGATGAAATTTATAAAATTTGTTCAGTTGCTCGCCGTTACCTTGACCCTAATATGCCAATACACACAATAGTCACAGTTTATTATAACACATTTTTACTTTTAAGCATTTCGAAACGTTTTTGAAG